ACTGCATGGGGCCTGATAGATCACAAGTCTGTTCAAGTTAATTAACCTCCAGGGCCAGGACTCCTGCAACCACAGGGTCAACCAGTGTGGCAGCTGGTTCTTCTCATCGCACCAGTAAAGCTTTTTCACTTGGGTTCATTTATTTCTTCAAACTTTAACCATTATTGCAGGTGTAAAGTGGTTGAATTGTTGTTTACAGCCTGCAACCACTGCCTTTGTTAAGAATGTTGTAGTTTTTAATAAATACAGTAAATCTTGGTTGGTACACTGGTTTTGATGCACATTGATCTTTGACCACCTGCGTATAACATTTCCCTTGTAAGTTTAACAGGTGCTCGTTGTGGCCGGTTGTGACAGCTGCTTCTCCCAACATCCACTCTTTCTGCAGAACTAAGCTGACAAGTGGTTTATACTTGACACGTGGCCAGAACCAGGCTCCTCCAAAATGTGAAAAGCATTTGAAAAGACTGGACAGGGAAAGTGTTGCTTATCCTGTTTCACATCAAGCAAGCTTTTTCTGCTATGTAAAAAAAAAATCCATTTTGGAGGTGATTTATTCCAGGCTTTGCCGGTTCATACACTTTGTGTAACCTCCATTTTCCCTTCCTTTATTGCATCGCCCTCTCAATGCTGCGGGGGGATTTTCATCCTCTGATCACCTTTTACCTCTCCTTGCTTTGAGAACTGTTCACTTGTTTCGCCACTGTTGGGTTTATGAGGTGCTTTGTTGATTACTTTGTAGATAACAGATTTGTAAGATTATATATCAAAAGCTTTAAAATAAAATTGCAAAAACAGATAAAATACCTCAACAAAGGAAAAGAAAAGCGACTAATTTTAATTCTTTTATACTTTGCATTGAAGGCGAGGGGTCCAGATGGCAGTTTACAATCCTCTAGGGCTTTTGTTGCAGCTACATTTACATGAGTCCGGTCATAAATAGGATGAAAATGGGTTTTCAGTGTGGTCCAAGCAGGGCCACTCCAGACAACATTAGGCCCTGAAAACCTCCCATGGTGTCTTTCTGTTTGTAAATGACTGAACAGCAGGTCAACGCTGCCCACGTGGAAAATGCTGCTGCCAAAGATTTAATAATTAAACGTGAGTTCTGCATCTCTCCCCTTGCAATGTTCCCTCTCATGATGACCATAAGCTACTTGATTATCCTTGTCAACATCAACTGCGCGAGATTATTGTCTGCAGCCTGCTGATACCACGGCTATCATCTCAGAGCCAGCTCTCCACAAAAATGCATCATCGCTCTCAGACAGAGGCAGCTTCATTAGAAACCGGCCCTGAGAAAGCTGGTGATGATGCTCACACAGCAGGCGTAAAACACCGACATCACAACAATGGATTGGTGGGCCACGTTTGTTAAAGCATTACTTTGCAGTTATTTTGCAACGATCATTTGGGAATTTATGCAAATGTAACTTGAAGTAGCAGAATGAGTAATGTCAGCACAAATTCAAAAATCTGGAGAAAAAAAAATCCCCAGAGATTTATGGTGGCTGAAGAACAGAAAAACTCCCAAAGTTATTTATTAAGTTATATATTTATATAGAATACATATAAATAGAATACAGTGAAGGGTTAATACCAAGTGGAGAAACTGCACTTTATCCAAAGATGCAGTTTGAATGCTGAGTGCTGAATGACTTTACTGAAACGTGCTTTAAAAAACAAAAACTGCTGGAGCTCAGATGCTAAAAGTAGCAGAAAGTAGCTAAAGAGTCAAACGCTTACGAAAAGATAAAGCAACACTGTAGCTAAAAGGTCAATAGAGCTGTCAAGACAAAAAAAGAGGGAATTACTGCAGCATAGATTAGATTAAAGGCAGGGCTATGACATCAATGTGTTCAAAAGGTTACATTTTGTCTTTTTATAGTAAAAAGCAAGAGTGTAAATTCCAAAATATCTGTTTGTGACACATTTGGCTCAGGTTTGGGAATCCTTAAACACTGTTCATGTGGATGCAAGACTACAATTAGTTAAAAATAAAAATAGTTGCTCATCAACTTAAACCACATGCAGATCACAAAAGTGACAACATGTGAAAAGAAACAGTCAAGAACAAAAGACCCAAACACAACAAGGGGTACGCCGATGTCTCCCTTCGCTGAAGGATTTGATTAATGCATGTTTGTAGTTTTCAAGACGAGAGTTTTCTGGACTGAAATTGAACAGGGAATGCAAATAAACCTTTTTTGTTTTAGATGCACGATATTCAGTTGGATAGGAGTTGCACTGTGTAGAAGAAGAGAGGTAGTTTTAATTTTTAGTGCTTGTCTGAGGCAGCACAAAGTGTCGGATCTTGGCAAGTGGGGGGAGGGATTTTATCCACCACCAGGTGCACGAGGTGCAGTGGACAAGCCTAATGGTGGC